TAATGAACATGATATACTGCAGTTGTTTTAATTCCACTCACTTGATAACGTTGCTGCAGTCTCAGACTGATACCTAGATGTTTATATTGGTAGCCTTGTATAATGTACTATTTGTACCATTCGTTATTTGCACTATTTCGTGACTGCTGTTGGGGATATTGCGCTAAAGTTTTTCCACTTACCAGTAACGTACTGACATGACAAGGTTATGTAATGAAATAAAGAATACATGAATATATATATATGACCACTTTATTAGGTACACCTAGCTAGTATCAGGTAGAAAACACTTTTGTCTCCAAAATTGCTTCAGAGGTAGACAAGTTTTGTGTTTCTGTACCCCACTTTTGTACTGAGCTGTTATTCTTGCACGTGTGGCCTTCCTGTTAGCTTTGACGAATCTGTCTGTTCTTTTCTATCCTCTTTCATAAACAAGGTGTTTGCAGCCATTAAATTCCATTAACTGAGTATCCTTTGCTCATTACAGCAATCTCCATAAACTCTCGACCCTGTAGTGTGTAAAAATCTCAGTAGGGTGACTGGAACCATCATGTTTAGCACTGGCTGTCACACCATGTTCAAAATCCCTTAGATCAGGTGTCATACTCATTCAGATACTTGATGGATCAGTGTTCTTTGGTGATTTCTCTATGGCAACAACCCCAGAAATCCACTTAGCCAACCCTTCCCTGCATGCACTTCTGATGGGCTGTTACCAAAGGACTTTCTGCAGCATCCAGGGCTGTATCCATGGTAACAGTGGACTGACCCAGGGCCTTTTTACTGCAGAATCTTCTGACTTGACCTGAATTTAACATTGGTTAGTTGGGCAGACGGACTGTCCAGCTGACCTGATTCAGCTTGTTTAGAGTTAAGTGGGGTCCTTAACCACAAGGGGACACACAACACAGCATCGCTGATGGATCCTGGTGAGCCCAGCCACTTTTTGTAGCTCTCTGTCAAGCCCTATTGTAGTCTTTCAGACCACTGACAAAGTTAAGCATTTTTGAGCTTTTGAAAAACAATTATTAAGAAAAAGATACAATTTAAATTTTAATTAGATATGCGATGTTTTGTTTCAGCATGAGCCATAATCATAATCTTGCCTTTAATACAGAATGGTAGAAAGACCAGTGTTTTTTGTCATGAAGTATGGATCTTTCAGCTTTATTCGGTTTTAAAATGCACAGTCCTTTATTGTAGCTTGCTGACCCAAGAATTTGGTTAGGCAAGCAATGTCTGCCACATATCCTGGTGAGGAATGATGTCTCCTCTTCAGTATATGTAAGAGTGTGCTCGTCCGTGTGCTCCAAGGGGCTGTGGTGAATAAGCCATTTTGCCTGAAAATAATAGTCACAAGTTCCCTGTATTCACTGCCTGTTAATATCTTGCGAATTCAAAGAAAGCTGAAATCTCACCTTTTGTGTTTCAGAAGGTTTTCATGTTTGATGCCTCCCACCAGTGTTTATTGGAAGGCTTTGGAGAGTAAAACTTGTGCATTTTCTGATTCTCTGTATTTTCTGATGTCGCTGTCTGCCAGTTGTCATATGTGAATCAATTTTAATCCTTCAAACCATCTGGCCAGGCTATTATTTTTTGCATTATCTTTATATACATATGTAATGACTTATGGCTTATAAATAACACATCAACATGTTATATGCAGGAGTTTGGCTACATAAAGTAAAGCATCCAGACATCCTAATTTACTTTATATAAATCCATGAATTCTATTGCCGATGCTTTGCTTTTGGCTACAAAAAATTAATTGGTTTAATGCTTTATAATGGCTGCTGCTTATAAAGAATTTTAATTTAGGTGAAAGTTTAATTTGTTCGCACCTCTGTTTGGCCCGTTTGTTAATAGTCAGATTTTGTCCTGAACACGTAGTCCGCATATCATTACTTAGAAGCAAAAATTATACATCGGTTGCTAAAAGATTTTAGCGTTAAGCGTGTGTTTATTAAATACAATTTGGAGCGGGATGCATGTCTTGTGTTGGATTTTGTGTTGGATTTTCTTCTCCCTTTGATTTGGACATATCTAGATAGTTTTGCTCATATTTGGTAAAATATAATCACAGTTTGAATAATTTATCGATTGATACATTATTTTAATATCATTAAAATAGAGCATATAAAGATTTATGGCCCAGCACTGTTCAGGGTGCTGTGGTGGAACTTCTGATCAAAAAGTTGCTTGTTTTGACAAATTGCATAGAAACCCTCGCTGGCTTTATCCTAAAAGCATGAATACCCTTAGCTGCATCACTGTCGTCGTCTACGGATAGTATAACCTACAGTATACCTCGCTCTGCAAGTGCCATTCTTGTGAATAGTAAGCTGTTACTGTCTCCACAGTCCACCCTGCAACAGAGGTAGCATTTTAAATAAATAATACATTTAGCAAACACCGAAATGCTCCTTTGTGATTTGCAGAACAAGATTAATGTTATCAAATTTAGTTTGTCACTGCCTCCTAGTGGTACAGGGCAACACAGCGATTCATTCAGGTAGAAGCTGTGAAGCTGTGAAGCTGTGAAGCTGTGTCCACGTGACGCTTTCATGTTCACCCCATGTTCTGGGTGTTTGATTCTGGTACGCAGGTCACAGGCAGATGCTTCAGAATTCCATTTTTGTATATGTGTGTGTGTGTGTGTGTCTGTGTGGTCCAGGTATACCTTACCTTGTGGGGACCAAATGTCCCCACAACATGACAAATACCTGTCTTGTCTATCTTATGGGGACCAGTTTCCTGTTCTATTTTATAAAAATGCGTGATTACAATGAAAAAACTAAAAATGCAAAAACTCTTGTATTTTCTATGGTTACTTATGGTTATGGTTAGGGGTTAAGGTTGTCATAGTTAGCATTATCGTTTTTCCAATAGAAATGAATGAGCGGTCCCCAAAAAGAAATGATTACACGACTGTGTGTGTGTGTGTTTGTGTGTGTGTGTGTGTGTGTGTGTGTGTGTGTGTATGTGTGTGTTATATTGTGCTTCTGCCCTGTCTGGGTTGTGCTAAGCTCTGGGTTATGCTGTTGCTTGCTAGATATGCAGTTACTGAATGCAGAAGGATGAAACACAGGAACAAAAAGTAAAAATCAAATTAACTCTGAACTTTCATATCATATTAGATAAAGTATTTAGAAGATAATTTCTCTGGGGCAAAGGGAGTTGTAATTTTAATTAATTCTTGCTGCAAAATAAATCTAGTTAATGTGGATAAAATAAGTCTTCATTTCAGGATTTGTATTAACTTAGTTAATATTAACTTAGCTGAAATTTGGTTGTGATTTTAGTGACTATAAGCCTAAGGTATTCCTCTGTCTGTGACATAACTTTGGGATTCATACACTGACTCATACACTGGCTAAGGCTATTACTATAACCCTTGGTATAACTTGTGGAAAGATCTTTGGCTAATAGACCGGAAATTATACTATGTTTAGCATCCATTTATAAAATGGTAAATGATGTGCAAGAAGTCAGTTGCATACATCAATTCCCCATTTGTTCTGGGGTTGCATCAGCCATTCTCCATAGCGTATATGGAAAAAAAAGTCAAACAGCATATTTGTCTTCATTCAGCAGGGGCTGCTGTTTGTCTCATCAATGCTAGAGCTGGATGTTAGAGAGGCGTTTGGTAGAGGAAAAATGATGGTAGCTCCAGATGCATCATTGCTGAAATAGAATTGCGAGCGACACAAAAAAAGCATACAGTAATATTTTATGGAACGGGACTTGGCATGATGAATCTAATCTATGCTCACAGACAAAGGTTATCTGAAGAATGCAGAAGAGGAGAGGGATTCCCCTGATACGTTTACGTTTAGGCCTGACACGGCTGAGGCCTTTGGTGTTGCAGCACACTTTCTAAATGTCCCGAGAGCTATAAACCTGCTGGCTCTGTCTGCTGGTGCTCGAGATGTAGTGTCCGGTGTCCCTGGGGCCTTTGCATGCGCCGCTTCCTCTGGGATGTTTTGAATCTCACCCTGCGACGAGAGACGGCAAGGCGGCAGTCTGTGAATCGATATGCAGACGAGATAAAACCATAAAGATGGGGGAAGCAGCAGCATCCAGCCCAGCCCACATCTCAGCTGTGAGTTCCCTGAGGTGTCAGTTCTGCGTCGCAGCCAGACTGCGTGGGTGGGCTTATTTCTGACTGCCCCCCCCCCACCAGAATGCCTCTGTCCAGAATGGTAAAACAGCACCAGTCACTCTGACTCTTCCTTTGTTGCCTAGCCGACATGACAAATGCTAAGCTGTTTTTTCCTCCATTGGAAGAGCTGCAAAAATAGCTTTTAATTATAAACTAACAGCTTTGTTTCTGTCTGTAAATGGAATAGCAGAATCTTATTATCTGCAGACTCTCTTTGTGGACTTTTTCTTCAGTGTGTATGTATGTCCCAGGTTTCAGAGTTGATGTACAGAGGTACGAATGGTGGCTTCGGATTCAGTAAATGCCCCAACTCAGGGCCCGTGGCACTTGTACAACACCGTCCTCTGTCTTCAGCAGAGCTTTTCAGAACCAGTGTGGGTATCATAACAAACAGGGTCTTCTCTATTGCGGAAAGTGAATGTCTGTCTTTTCACAACAAAGTTTAAATGCACAACATCAATGAACAGAGAGATGCTTGTTTCTTCTCGGGGGAATAGTCCAGCGCACAGGCAGATGCATTAATTGAGGCTTTGCTAACTCATTTGACCTCTGGGTCTCACCCCCTAATTAAAGTGCTTGCAGTAATGCAGCTCTAAAGATCAGCTCTAAAGATCGTAAAGAATGCCAACATGATGATCAGCAGTGTTTTTATTGTAGTCGTTCTGCGGTAATTGCAAGCGTACATATGCAGTAATGACCAGAGGGTGCTGGAAATTGTCTGTAGAATGAAGTAGCTCTAAGAGTCACTGAGCCTGTTTTGTTTTTCCCTGGGGGGGGTGGGACCAAACTGTTCTGCTCTGTACATTCAGAATGCTGCCTTGTTTTTTTACTGCTGTAGATGTGATGGACCAGCAGAGGGCACTCCGCTCCGGCTGCCTGGTGACAGGGGTACGCACGCCCCCCATTCGCCGCAACAGCAAGCTGGCAACCCTCGGACGTATCTTCCGGCCCTGGAAATGGAGGAAAAAGAAGAATGAGAAAATGAAGCAGAGCTCTACGGGTGAATGAAGCGTGGAGTCACAGGCTGATCACTTCGTCTATTTGTTCTATTTATTCTATCTAATAATCAGACCCCAGTCAACCACAGTCCTGTTAAGGGTTGTGTGTGTTTCAAACTTGCCTCAAAAGAAACAATGTTTCCGCATGAGAAACTTGAAGAATTGGGGTATTTTGTGGTGGTAACAAGAGATGAAGCGGTACTTACAATCCCTAATATTAACAACCATAAATCAGATAATACGTAGTGTGTTGGTGGCTGTGTCTGAGGTTTTGGAGATGCGTTGATATTGTGATATTGGTTTTAAAATGGATGAGTTAGCAGTTGAGGTGCCTCTGTTTGTGGTGTTGGACATCAGCTTGTAACCATCAGGTTGTGGTTTTATTTGCAAAGAACAAACTTGTGTCCCCTTTGAAATAAGTCTCTTATTGATGGTGGTCTCCATAACACAGTTGAATTCGTGAAAGCAGGTCTGCAGTAACATTATTGGCTGAAGTATATGACTCTGATAGATTTATTTGTAAAAAGTGTATGTATGAGTTTCTGTGAGCATACGTGATAGATTACTAAGCAGTCGTGCTTTTGTGATACTTTCTTATGGAGCAGTAGATTTGTGAAAACTGACTAAGGGTAACTGGCCACATGGTTAATGATTTACTTTGTAACAAGGGGCCAGTGGCAGCTCAGCCCATATCACAGTGTATGTGGTAAGTACCACAGTTTGGAACAGATAGTCAGTGGTACATATCTTAGTCAGTAACAGGCTGTTTGTGGTGCACGGCTCTGTGGGTAACAGGCTGTTAGCGAACCAGAGCCCAGTCAGTGTGCCCCTGTTATGTAGCCCAGTCAGTGTGCCCCT